CCTTTCTGTGTTAATCTGTAGGCTTTGCCTAGCTGAGAAGCACGCCGTGTTTGCAGAGGCACTTTTGGGGAATGAGAGGTAGCGTTGATGGTGCTCTGAATTTTCATCACTTCTCTGACAGTCACACGTGCTGTGCACATGAGAGCGAACCTGCTAATCCGTGTTGCAGCGTGGTAAGGACGACAGCCAGTCATTCAATGCAGTGTTTCAGAGGAGCTGTAGATTTCTCCTAATTTCTGTCATATAACCACCTCCATGGAACATTTCTGCCAGAGAGGGGCTGTTTTGGCCGCCGAGCTTTATAAGCTTTTAAAATGTAAATACACCACGAACCTGTTTCCATTATTCAAAAACCAAAGATAGAAGGAGCTAAAAAAACTTCGCTCGCTCTAGGAATTAAAACATAAGCAAATAATGAGGATTTGGCTGGTCTGCAGAACATTTAAAATTCTTACAGGGAGAAAATTATTAATTTTTCAGACAGAAGTGTTGTGTGCTCCAATTTATTGTTGTCATGGTGACTAATGCATGTTACCATAACCAGGCATGAGGCTTTAACAGGTGAAAATTTATAAGATATGGTTCTTGTTAAAAATGAATACATTCAGGCTGCTCAAAACCAGGCCTTTTTTTTTTTTTTTTCTGTAGCTTAGAGGGTTTTTAACTTCTCATTTTTATAAAAATATGAGGCAGGTATTAGGTTTTATAGAAATCATATTGCGATTGCTTCTTACATGTGACTACCTCTGCATCCACGTGCCTTTAATGTGAGTCAAATACAGTTCCCACAGAATGGGATGAGATAGAAAAATGCAACAATTGTAAAAAATTACCTAATAGCAGTAATTTGCTTCTGTAGCTCATTTGACATCAAGCATCTGAGCCTTTCTAGAGCACTGAGAAGTGCACATCTGCCCATTTTCAGGGTTATGAAGCACTGCAAGAGCAGGAGATACTGGTCTTTAGGACTATGACCTTTATGGTTGAAGGTTGTCACAGGAGAAGTATTGAATCTGTACCACACTGGCACTTGACTTGAGGCTATTTTGTGTTTGTAAACTCTATCTGCAAAATGTGAAGCAAAAAATCTTCTTTCTCAAGGTGACTGAAGCCAGAGAGAGGAAAGGCACTGGTTAAAGGCATGGGGAGGTTAGAATACTAAAACACAGGCAGTACAGCAAAAAACACGTGATAAATTGCACAGCTGTCTGATGAGCTGTGAAGTTAGATGAGGAATGAATTATCTCTTGCCTTTCTACTTCATCAGAGAGATAAAAAACTGCATACATACATTGTGTCATAAAAGATACATAAGCTTAAATGTTTGATTATTTCTTATAATTGCAAATTAAATATTCAAACCAGAGAATCCTTATCCTATCATATCTATTTTTAAAAATGAAATCAAACATCATAGTTGGTCCTGCATGGCAATTTACGAACATTTCTGTACTGCTTGAAAGAGTTTTAAGTGCTCATGAAGGTCCTGAATGTCACTACTTCACCCATGAGTTGTTCCATACCAATTCCTCAGATTTAGAACTACTAATAATTCATATTTTTCTACCCCAGACTTGAGACTTGTCATTTCAAGTCTTCTCTAGGTCAAAGATGTTCCTGCTTTGTATTTTACCTGAGGTTAATTGCCATCATCACGTCCTAAATCTCAGAATTTCAGTATCTGACTAGAGTCAGTCAGCTGAGGAGCTGCTTTTCTTCCTGCAGAGGTTTTCAGGCCCAAATATATAAAAGTATTTAGCTGTCTAAATCTTGTTTAAAAGCCTTTCTTCCCTTTAAAAGAAAAACAACAACAAAAAAAAAAGGAAAAGAAATTGCATGGGGAATATGTAATAGGAATTACCCTTCTAAACACCTTCATGTATCTGGGTTTTGGAGACTACCCTGTTATAACTCAGTCTAAATAGGTAATGAATACTAGCAGTAGTATGGTTTAAAAGTCTAAGGAGTTTGGCAAGAAACAAAAGGAAAGGAGACCAGAAGCCACTTCTGCTGAATATTAAAAAGTCTTTATGATAAAGTTACAATAGAAAATTTTATAACTATGTATAAAATGTCTTCTTCATCCATCATAATAATCTATGCCTATGATGTTTAATTTCATGCAGCTTTGCTTAGTAGCTGCTCCTGCTACAAGACACACTGAAATACATGAAAGGTCTTCAGGTACAGTGGTCTGTGAAGAACAGCAGAAATCCTGAATCTCTGTGTGCCCTGAACCTCGGCTGTACCAGGTGTTTAGATCATCCTAGAGACATATACAACAATCATATCAATTCTGTTTAGTCTAATTTAAAAGGAGTAGGTACTTGGATGATGGTAAATATTTACAGAGCAATTAATGGATACAGATGAATGGTCTCCACGCAGTCCCTTTCCAAGTGACTCGTACACTGGTTTTATTTGCCTAGTTGAAGATAACTTTTCGTTTCCTCATGATTATTGCTTCCCAGCTCCTTTGTAAAATTGAACCAATATGAGAAGTAATCCCTGTTCCTCTTGTTACCACCCTTCATTTACGGCCAGAAACAATTCAGGTCTCCATGCTTTTAATATCTTTCATGCAAAAGGGAGTCAAACTGTAAATTTCTGTAATCATTTTACTCCTTATGTACCCTGTTTAATTTGTCAGTACTTTCCATTTTGTGCATGCAGGGAAAATCACCTGCAAACCAGAGCAATGTAAGGGTTCGGAGCACTACCCAGGGTCACTTATTTCTTAGAAATTCTGCTCCTCCCTCATGACCATCCCATGGCCGGTGGAAAGACTGATAGTCAAAAGATGTGCATTTATAGCTTCTCTGTCCTGGATTTACTCCTGTTCCATTGTAATACCTTTTGCTAAATGAATAGGATGTACCTTCGGAGATCTGCTTCCTTACGCAGAACATGCAGGAGTGTATCTTTATTAGGAAAAAAAAAAAGACTATTTCAAGTGGTCTGTTAACTATGGCCTTGAAAAGTTCATATGAGACACCTGAGCACACTGTGAGAATTTGTGATGGGTGCAATCCATCTTCTTCTCTTGTAGTCAGATACAAACTCAACTAATAAGGATGCAGATACTTATCCCTTGTAATACAGTTGAAACGTTCTTTTATAAGGAGAACTGCTTCTTAAAGAAATAAAATTCCCGCTTCAGATTAAATATGATGAAGGTTTTTATACATTTGTGGTCAGAAGGATTCGTTTCTGTGGATAGAGAATGCCAAAAATTGGAGCAATTGCTGATTCTGCAAATTCTGAGGTTGAAGTCATATCCATAGCATATAGGCAGCTTCACTAGGTAAAGCAGAAATTACAATACTGTATAATTTGTAGAGGTTCTAATAGTGCCAGTGTTAACTAGGTTCAACTTGTTTTATGATGTTCACTTGCTCAAAGTTACCATATCGGCAGCATAATGTTGATGTTTCCAGATTTATCTCCTGCTTTTCATTGCAGAGTTGTGCAAATGTGTCTCATTTCATTATTTTGTGACACATGAAAATGATGTACTTGTTTTGTTTACTCTGTCCTGATTTAATTAGTAGGATGTGATAGTTTGCCAGACTTTTGAATGTCTTCGCTAAGATTTTTTTCATGTGTTTTTGATGCTTAACTTCTTTTTGCTTTAAAAGTCTTAACTTCTAGCCATATTCTGTGTGAAATGCTGATGATAATTCCTTGCCAGCTTCAACACATATTTTAACAATATGACATGCATGGAAAATACACAGAGATAAGTGCAGGTAAAGAAAGAAGTAGCATAATCCAAATTGAAATAATTATACAGGAGAGAGTAAAATAGTTTGAGAGAGAACAAGCAGGGGAGGAAGCAAGATCAGAAAGAAGAAATCTTATCCCCAAAAGACAGAGTGGGAGGGAGAGGAAAATTCAGAGACAGGCCAGACCATACCAGACAAGGTAGGGGAGAAGTGGGCCTGGTTACAGAAGGAAGAGGGCTTAGGAACAGGAGGAGGACTCCATCCACAGGTCATTTTCAGTTAAAGTGAGCTGATGCTTGTTTGGCAGCATCCCCGGTGTTGAGGACATGGGCAGTGTGAGCACATGTGAACCAAAGGTAGGAGAGATCACAGTTAAAAAATAAATAATCTAAAAATAATAATTTTTTTTTGCATGGGCCTGGAAGGTGGAAGGAGCCCCCAGGGGCCCAGAGGTCAGTCCAGGTCCAGTAAAGCCATGTCCGAAAATACGCAATGGCAGGTGAGACCCAGACCAGCACTGCCGTGCTGGGGGCATCCCTGTACCAATGCCTGCCTTGGCTCTTTTTGGATGGAAGAAGAGTGTCCTGGAAAGGGACTGGGCAGCAAACTGCAGTCCTACCCATGTTCTCTGAGGGCTTTGAGGAAAGGGGAGAGGACAGCTCAGGAAAGCAATCACCTGTGTCAGTGAGAATGATGGCTGTCGAAGGGCAATGTTAGTAACTCTACAATGAGACATCAAGAGAAGGTGATCAAAGTAAATATTCGTAAAAAGATTAAAGAATGCCTCATATATTTGAAGAATGTGTAAGAAGTCTTCAGATCAAAGCAAAGTCTCAGTTGTTTAGCCATTTAGGAAAGCTAGTTATTGGTTATATGTGCTGGATAATGGAAGATTTATTAACTGTGTAGAAAAGCTTGTAAAACACATAGCTGAATTTGTGAATGGCATTCTTGTGCATCTCATGATTTTTTCCGAGTGCTCTCTTCGTCATACATGTATTGTAAACAGTTATTTTTAAGGAACATTTCTGGTGCCTAATGATTTTATTCTCAAAGCAAATAGATTTAATTAAAGCCTCATTAAACACTACAGTAGATGACTTTGCATTATAAATTAAATAATGAAAAATATTGTAGGAGTTTTGTTCCCTTATTTTAGTAACATAGCTCCATGTAGAAAATAAATTATTGTTATTTGAGCACAACAGTGGAGGGCTACTTTATAGCAAATTTGCCTGCAACTTCTCTTATATCTTGAACAACTGTGATTTTCAGACAGGAGACTGGGGAGAGCCTTCAATTACTTTGCGACCTCCAAATGAAGCCACAGCATCAACGCCTGTACAATATTGGCAGCATCATCCAGAGAAACTCATCTTCCAATCATGCGATTATAAAGCATTTGTAAGTGTTCATAAATTTAGTGGTCTGATTTGGGGTAGATATATTAATTTTAGGTTTTGATAGACTGTTTTATTTCATTTATAATGTTTTTTCAGTCACTTCTAATGAGACAGACCAATTCCTCTGAAGCACTGGGACTGTAATAAATGAGAATCAAGGATGCACAGTACTTTTTTACTATGAATTTTGTGATGCGTTGCAGTCCATGTAGCAACAGTGTTAGAGAAATGACACCATGAATACATGGCTAAGTGTTGTAGAAGACAATGAGAGCAAACACCTGTACTTCTCATTTGTCACAAATGCCTGTCTAGTACTTATGGAAAAATAATAGAACATAATATGGGATCCTCATGCCCACTTTATGTTGTGTGCATGGTAGTTAAAGTAAGTATTGCCTTGCCTGAATTTTATACACCTGTTTTGGGGGGAGGTGACTACAGAAGATAGCGGTCAGGGTCCTGAAGCAGTGTGTTCTGTCCATGGGACAAGGGCCCATTCACTCCTCTTCCAGACTGATGACTACTTGAAGTACCAGTAGCACTCAGTTCCTTCAGGGCAGGGAGTATTTATTTCTACCTCCCGATAGCTGTAGCTGATTCCTACTTCCCATCCCGGGAGAAACAGAGCTTCCCTGTACAGCTAAAGACAATTAGTGTTCTCTGGCTGTTATAAACGCTTGTGAAGGAGAGGAAGGTCTCCTGAAGTAGAGAAAGTCGTATTGGAAGACTTTGTTTTTTAAATGAAAAACAGTTTTCTGAAGCCTGGAGTTTCCTGTCAACAGGGCAGGGGTACTGGTGCTTCTGGCGAGCTGAAGAGGTGCCTCAGGCCACCTATTTAAACTCTTACATTTCCTCTTCTGACTTTGCCGGAAAGGGTTTCTAAAGTTGCTGAAGGTGCTGCACAGACTGCTGTGTCCTCTTCGGAAGTGGCCATCTAATGAAGCAAGGCTGACTTATTCTACAAAGGAAAGGGGCTCAGTAGTTGTAGTGCCTTTAGCATAATAGCTGGGGGCTAACCCTTTGTCCAGGACATGGGTTTTAGATCCTCTTCACCTGGAGGAGCTAGCTTGGATCCTTAGTGCTTTTTAGGATAATGCTCTGTTCGCCAAACAGTGGAGCATTTTGAGGGGAGAGCTGGGGGCTGCTGGACCTGATTTAAAGCATATCTGGAAAGGTAGGAATTGGAGACTGAGTGCAGGTGAAACAGAGCCTGGCTCCCGCTGAGGAGGGGCAGAAAGGGTGTTACCAGGCCTGTCTCGCTGGAGCGTGTCTGTATCTTCCATCAGACCTTCATGGGGTAGAAATTGCTTCGAATGCAGCAATTGTCCCTGGACTGTGACTGGAACCTCTGCGCTCCTCAACAAGTCACAGTCAAGGTCCAGCTCGCCTGCTCTCAGTCTTGCTCTCCTCCCATGCAGCACCTCGAATTGAAGAGGAAGCTTAGTGACTTCTAGTTCTTTAAACATTTTTCATAGTTTTCAGTAAAGTGAACACGTTTGTCTCCAGAGTGCCTCAACTCATTACTTGATCCAGCAGTAAATTCATAATCATCTGATTATGAATTACCTTTTTAGTAGATTGGAAGGCATGTGGATTGTTAAAGAGATGAAGTTGGGATGACCAGGAATATCCAAGTTACTGGTGATGAAGGAATTGCCAAATCAAAATATCCAAGTTACTATTGATTAGGGAAACATCTTCCTTTCCTAAGGATCATGCATCACTGCACTTTCTCAGTTCCCTGAGCTGTAACGACCCCAACCTTATGGAGTAAAACCCTGGCTTGGAAGTTATAATGGGGGCAGCTTCCATTGTATGCCAGATCACTCAGTTGAACTGGATGTCCTCTGCGTTGCTTCCACGTGCTCTGGGTCTTTGAGAAGGAACATTTCCAAAAGTACAGCAAGTCAATGGAAAGCAAAATCCCCTCCTAAAATTTCAGGGCTTTCTGGCAACTAAATTGGACAGTACCTCTGTGATTTGTTTGTCTGTTCCACAGTCCACCCTGGGAAGCGTTTCTGAGTGCCTGCAGCTGAGGCTTTTTGCTGCTGTGCATTTGGGACAGGAGTTGCCTGTCTCTTCTCTTTCTTCCTCTTGTTCTGCCATGAGCTTAAAAGCACTACTTTTTTTCCCTGATGCCTGACCAACTGTTAGCTTTCAAGGAAATACCAATTTGTTGGGACATAGTCTATAAAAATGATAAAATTAAGAAATCAAAGACATTAATTGCATCCTTCCCAGAGAAGTCTAAGGATGCCAAAGGTGTCAGACAGCAGGATCCAGAGAAAGATACAGTTCAATTCAATATGCTTTTGTTTAATTTTCTAATTTGAGACCTTGCTTTAATTCATTGTACTTCTACAAGGGCAGTATCAAGCCGTCCCATCAAATTAATGCCCAAAGCCCTGTTCATGTCACCATCAAGCCCCCAGCTGGACTCGCAGCTGCTTGGTTTATGAATCTTTCACATCTGCAGTCCTCCAGGAATGCCCTTCATTCGTTCCTTTCTGCTTGTGCTTATTCTGGTAGTGTTGGTGTTGCTCACCCTTCCATTTGTAATGCCCTGTAAAGCGTTTTTCACCAATTACCATGTTGGCTACTGACTACATTGAAATATTTATGCATTTTCTTGCGGTTCACAGAATCCTGTGGTACACAGTGTGAACTGAAGGCTTTAAAGAAAAATATCTCAGTTTAGGTCAGGAGACCAGAGACTTGAACCAGTACGCTTGCTGTTCCATTCCAGCTTGCGTTCAGCTGTAACTGAAGTTATTTTTGATAGGTTCTTGTTTAAGATGAAGCTGGTTCACTATGGTTGGGTCAGCGTAGGCTGTTTCCAAGGGGAGTCAGTGTAGTAGAATGAAAGGGGTCAGGCTGCGGTGGTGAGCTGCAGCATCCTCTGGGAAGATGCTCCTGCCCACCACACTGTCTCTCTCCCTGGAGCTCACCTACCCCATTCTCACCAGTGGCATGACTCTGCTTCAGCTCCCGTGTTGCTCACGTAGGACTGAAGACTTAAGAGAAGCCATGGCATTGCGCTGCAGTGAGAATGCAAAGAGAGACATCTCTGTGCCTGTCGAGGAGAAGATGAGGGCTGGCTTGCTGTCATCTTTCCCCAGTTAAGCCAGATTTATATGTGACACTATATAGAAACATGGAAACTTCCTGTGCGCACAGAGCTGTATGAACATGCACAAGGGCACATACCTGTAGTATCTGTAGGTGAAGTGCAGGCTGTGTAGAGAGGTGCTGAGTCCTAAGAGGAACAAATCCTGAGCCTGCTATCAGGGTGCAGAAGGGCTCAGACTGCAAGCACCAGTGACTGGGGCAAGGAGGAGGTAGATAGGACAGGGGACATGTTAGGCACTCGCTGCCTTGTGAACCCTCGGAGATGAGCAGGCTCCTCAGAGAGCACGGTGGCTTTCAGTGAGCTGAACCAGGACCCAGCACCAGCACGCTGCTGCTGCTTCTCACCCAGTCCTCCTTCAGATCAGTAAAGGCTTCAAGGTAATAGCTCGGGGTCAGCCTTTTCTTAGGAAGAAATAGTGGTTTAAACTAGTTTTCAGTTCAGGTTTATTTTCTATGTTTGCTGGCATTAGGCTCTGCTATTTGCACATAAATTAGTTACAGTTTGAGTACACAGAGGTTAACATCACTGCTGCCCTTCACGACTACATGATAGCACACGTAGCCATATGAGTTTGGGAAATGGCAGCTAAAAAAGAGGATTCTCCATTTTTTAATCAAATGGTGTTTTTAAGGTGGAATCAATAGTATTTTCTTGTTGTTTGAGTGGCTGAGGTGGTAAGCTAGAAGACTTTCAGATACTGCTTCAAAGGGCTTTATCTGATTCATTATACTTGTTGCTGTGCATTCCTGTTTCATAGGTTGATTAACATGCTAGTTAAAACAATTCATCAGAGAACTGCAGAGTAAAAAAACCTCTAAAGCCTTATATTAAGTTGACTGCTACTGCTGTGGTTTTTTAGGCATTTGTGGTGCATTTCTGCAGATATTTGTCTGTTACAGAATTTTAGTTAAATTAAGTTTAATGGATTTTTATTTTAGTATTTAGGTTCTATGCTTGTAAAAGAGTTAAGAGGCACCGAGTCAACACAGGATGCATGTGCAAAGATGAGGGTAAGTTAGTAAACCTACGCCTTTGTCATCATAATATTAAATAACATTAACTAGTGATTACTTCTGCTGTGCCCTTTTTGCTTTTATAATGTTCTGTTACCCATTTTTTTCCATTGCCCTTGCATTTACATTGACATTCAGTAGGAAGTCTGTTCTACCTCTTACCTTAATTTCAAGTAATACCAAAATTTAAAGGTAGATTTTATTTTGCATGTTGTATCTAAGAAAAAAGCAAATGTGCGTGTTATGTTTTCTCTTGAAGCTTCAAGTCTTCAAAGTCCTTTCCACTCATTTTCCATGTGCCTGTATCACTTTGCTTTTATAAACAGAATTTATAGAATCATAGATTGGAAAAGACCTCTAATATCATTGAGTCCAACCAGAGTCCAGAATCTGGATTGAATTTACTACATGAGAATATGTACTAGTAAATATATTAACATGTTAACAAAGCCATTGTTTTTTACGTATGGTCTAATCCTACAAATGTCTTTACTCACATGAATATTCCCATTTATTACGGGTGAGTTACATGCTTGTTGACTGAAGGATGAAAAGGGAACTAATTCAGTTTCACCTGATGGTGGAAAAGCAATTAGGTTTCCTTCAAACTGGTAAGAATATGTTTTCCTGTCTCTCTTTGGCCCAGTATTGGTTTGCAGAAAATTACAATGAGCCTTGGTCTATCTCCAACAAACATACCGCTGCTGGAAACTCGTAACAAGCCACAGGCCAGCGACATGATTTATTCCCAGTTGTAGTTGTAATAAGAATGCACCTGCTCATAGAGATGACGAACATATTATGGTCTGGCATGATTAATTAATGAAGACTGTAGTTGTTTGGTGATCTACCAAAGGTGTAAAATTACATAGTTGAACGAGTGAAATCCTTAATTCTGTGGATCATGAGTATTTTATGCAAGATGCCTCTGCGCACTAGACGTAGCATTTGGATCAGTTAGAAAGCTAGATAATGTGTAAAATTCATGTGATCAGACAACCATTTCCTATTGGTTACGTATCTGCAGCACACAGACTTCTGTACAAGCTGTTTTAGCTCAGGGCTGGCAGTAATTCACACTTACTAGATTGCCTAAAGATCTGTGGCTTTTCAGCTAATTACATGCTAATCATTCCTTACCTGGGCTTAAACCCCTCTAAAAAAACCCAACAACTTGACACAGAGGGATCTGCAGGGACATACACGTGTTCTGGGGAATTAATTGAGGCTGCAAGCATACCATCTTCCAATCCAGGTTTCGAACTGTCAGATTTAGCAGTTCAATTTTTTAGGCATATGCCTGTGCAGATCTTAGGGCAGAGTTTGACACCATAGTAGCATATGACAACTTCAGTAAGTTGACTGAACTAGGAAGCTTAACATCAAAAAAGTCACTCTAAATAATTTATAGACATTATAAGATTTAGAAAATTTAAATTATGTACCTGAAAAATTGTTTGAAAACAAATTTAATTTAAAATAAAATTTTTCTGTAAAAATAATGGAGTTGCACCGGTAGTCTATAGTGTCATACAGGGCACATATATTACAGTGACAGGGTTTATATATATTTATTTTTTACATTCTGTTTTGAAACCATTGTGCTGTGAGAATGTTTATTTTCTGCTTTGAGGGTTTTTTATTGCAAAGAGGTTTGAATAAACAGGTTTTAATCAGGGTTTCATCTATTCTTTCGATGTAGTCCTTTTAATCATATTCCTATTCAAGTCAGAAGCAAAAAACATTGACTTAATGGGAACAGGCTAGTATTTAGCGTAAGTTTCCCAGTGAGAAAAATAAATCTTTTTCCAAAACTTTCTCCCTCTGGTTGTGTTCTGAAAGTTGGTGCCTATGAATTGTGAGTCCAGGTTATCCTAAGCTATCCTGAAGTTTTGCTCTGATGTTCATTATTCTGTGTACCACTGGGTTTTCATTGAACATGTGGCTTCTTGTATAGCTACATTTTATTTCAAATGTACTGAAAGGGGCGTTTCACTTACAAAAAATAAGTGAAGAGCTAGATATATTATTTGACTGCTTCTCAGGTACTGAATTCTGTCCACTTGTCCAATGTCTTTAAAGTCAGTAAGATTTTTACATCGGGTTGTACTAATGTGATAGAGCAACATTTTTTAATTTTAGGTTTGTTTTTTTTTCCATGTATGTATTTCAAATCTATAGAGTGTTGCAATCTGAAAAATCTTGGTAACCTTGTACCATGTTGAGGTCCTTACCTGAAATTTTTTAATCGTTCTGGAGTCAGCCACATAATGTTTTTTAAGGAGAATGTATGAAAATTGAGTACCTAATTTTTCTGTTAAAATGGCTTTAGCTTCTCCCTCTTTAATCTAATGCTGCTGGAAAAAGCATTGCTATTCACTGAATGTCTTCCCGTCAGCAGGCGTGCACAGACGAAAGCAGCCTGTCAGTGGAAAAAAAGTATCTTGATCTTCCTTAATCACTCATAGATACAGAGAAACAACAAAAATTACATGTTTGCTGGCAGCAGATCCCTCCCCTTTAGTTGTAGATGCTTCCTGTGCTTTCAGTTACTGCCACTGATGGTTCTGGTTCTCAAGGGAAGTGTCATGCAGATCTCCCTCGCCTCTCTCCACGGAGGGACTTACAGCAGCCTCCTGCTCTTACAGCCCAAGAGTGAAGGTAGATCCTAAATCTTCTATAATGTTAAAAAACCCCAAACAAACAAAACCTGGGAACGTCTGTCTTAATTACTCTTCTTGGCTATCCACTGTGCGGCTCAGCATCGTGCAGCAGTGTGCTCCAGCAGGGAAGATGATGGATTTGTTTGGGGAAAATCATGCAGATGCAGTAGAGTGAGCTCAGCACAGGGGTCAAGGTTATACATGCTTTTTGTTCCCACCTGAACTGCAGACTCTTGCAGCCATCCAAAATTATGGATGTTTGGCAAGAACTGTGCCTATTGGAGTGATTATACTTTATTTTTTCATTCACATATTTGCACTCCAAGGATGGATTTATGTTTTATGGTTTCCTGTTTGTTTCCAGCTGTTTTCTCTCACAAACTCTCTCTGCAGTCAACAGCACTGTCTCCTTATCTCCATTCTCCACCTGCTGTAAACTGACCTTTGCTACTTGGAGATTAAATCTCACTGTCCTGGACAGAATACATTTATTAATTATATTTAAGATATGCCTTCAAGAACTTAAGAGCTTTCATCTTTCTCAGCATGGAATAGGAAATATTACAAGTTGTGTTTTCAGTCAGGTTACTGCCTTCACTTCAGATCACCATAGGAACACGAAGCAAAAATAAAATGTGTTTACATCAAAATAAAGAAAAGGAAAAAAGTTCAGTTGGAGCTAGGAAGATACTTGTTCTCTACAGTAGACTCCATCTGGCATTTGCACATATGAATTCCTTTACCAGGTAGGAAGGGAATAGTTTTATACGTGCTGGCATGAGCACAGCAGCAAGGTAGGCTCTTTCCTTGCAGTAATGTTGTATCACGACTGTTGCATACACCAATTGCACAGTCTGAACCAATCAGATATTTACTGCAAGAGTAGGAAAATAAGATTTTTGTGCTTGGATCCTGCCACATTCCTGAATATTACGTATTTTCTTAAAGGTTTTCTTGTTAGAAAAGAGGTTCTTACAATTCAAGTTCTGGGGAACCAGCAACATAATTCTATTCACAAAATAGGTGTTTAAATATCTTGCTTACTTACGACCAAAATGTCAAAGTTGGAATTGTTACAAATTCTGCTTCTCTTATCTCTGGAGAGGAAGATGAAGCTGAAGCAGAGTTGACTCTTTCACTGAAAATAGGCAGGATCTGGGGCATTCCTTTCTGATTTCTTCTTGGATAAAGAAGGAGCACATGGATATAGATGGCAGTCTCCTTGTTTCTGCTAATCCCTTTCTACTTTTCAATCTCCGTTATTTCATTTATCCCCCAACAGTAGAAGTGTCTGCCATAGGCCTCCTAGTGAAACTAGCCTGGCAAATACCATGTCAGGCTCAAATACTGTATTTGAGAATTTAGACTCTTTGGTTTGTATTCTCTTGCGACTTGTAGCTTGTCTCTCTCGTGTGGCCACTGCTTTGGGAGGGCCTGCAGTCAAACAGGCACATGGATGTTACTCAAAAGGAAAAAAGAAGTTGTGGGGGGTATCTTAAAGATGTTCAGTCCTTTCACACATCCACATCATGTCATTCCATGTTCTTCAGAGCAGTGTCCTTGAACTCTGTGGCTGAAAGTAATCCAAGGTGCAGGAGGGATGTGCTGCCCTTTCAGCAGCAGATGAGTGTGCACAGATACTGCAAAACCAAAAAATACCTCATTTTTAAGCAGATGAGTTGCAGGTGCATCCCCAGTGCAATGTTCATATTAATGATGTAGCTTGAAGGCATCCATTAATTGTAGAGAAGTAAGCAGTCTGGTACCACAGGGATTACAGATGCTATTTTATTCCAAGAGGTATTAACTCATGTCAGGGATGCGTTATTAAGCCTTTTGGACTGAGAGAAGTTAGTAAATATTTGTTCCAAGTCAGATTGTAATTCCAAAATTGGATTCAAAACTAACTGGTCAAATGTGAACTTTGACTTTTTATTTCAATTTCATCTCATGCATGATATTGTCAAAGTGATCCACTCAAAAAGATCTGCTTAATGAGGCTTCATAAGCTTTAAATAAGTAACAGACTTATGGGTATGATAGTAGGTGGTACCAAGACAATTTTGAAATGTGCGGTTTGATGCCATTTGGAATTAATAGTTGCTACCGGTATGGGAAAATGTTCAGCTTCTCGTAGTGAAGTGGATTCCAGTACATAACTGAATAGTAAAACTGCCAGCAACAGACTTCAGATAGCTATTAAAAAGCAGTATAGGACAGAATTAACAGATTCATCTGCGAAAGTAAAAAGCCGAGATGAAATCTTAAGACTTTACGGGCTCATAAACTGGTACTCAGAATTTACATGTGTTAGTGACTTGGCGTAGTTGAATAATGTCTTATTACTGTGTATTTGCAAGATCGAATATAACTACATATGCAGTAAAACCTAAAAATGAACATGGTTTCATTTTGGCCACTGTGTGAAAGCTGAGTAATCCAGTTATAAATGTATATATAAGTACATAAAAGTGGTCAGCGTGGCAAAGTAGAGGTACCAGTGTTTCCTGTTTCGTCTTGGCAGGAAATAAGTAGATGAGATGAAAGCATTGTGAGAATGGGGTGGATTACACCATGTGCTGCAGTATATCAAGTGAATGTGTGAGCATCTTACTCAGATACCATTTTACTTGTACTGCTGAATTTCTTATTCAGCTGCTTTGTGTGTGTGTGTGCACAGAGATACCATGTTTTGTACACTGCAGGAGTATTCAAAAGCATTGGATTAGTGCTCTCAGTTCTGCACAGGACAAGATATCAGTACAATCCCGTCTTGACCGTCTTGAAAGGATTAAAGACCCTTTAGGTTATATGTTTTGTATTTGCATGTATTGCCTCTTAAAAAATAAACAGCCAGTTTATATTGCTTTATCCCTAGAACAAAGTCCTCTGCCTCTTAACCCATCGTTAATTATCATGATTTGTTAGATACACTGACTGGGTGGATCTCAAATTATTTGGTGTTTAGTTTATATTCTAAGTAAATGTTCTGCACAACCTTTAACGCCGAATCAAAATACAGGTAGAAATGCTTCACTCACTGAAGACAATTTGTATTACTATAATATGGAAATCTGTTTAGAGTCTGTTTGTGAGTGTGGTGGTTTTTTCAGTGAAATTAAAGAAAATTCATAAATAAGGTCAGAAGCAAGCTTGGTCTGTCAGTTGCTCACTCTGGCACCACTGCTCTTGCACCCCTTTATGACCAATTTCAAAGGGAGGAACTGGGAGCAGCCCTGTCCAAGGCTATACAGGGTTTTGGCACTGTCCTGCATAACAGCAGCAGTGGGGTCAAATGCAAACTCGGAAGAGTCTTAAACCCAGACCTTTGCTGTAAAAGGAAGCGCTGTAATAAACGGGCAGTTTTGCAAGAGATGCCTTCCACCTCCTTCCACTGGATGGATCTCCATTCTGAGTGCTGAGGGGACCAAGCAGCTTCATCAAAACACGAGAGAGGCTGCTGTCCCTGATATTCTTTATCCTGAAGAAAAAAGAGGCTTTGTGTCTTTTGGGGGGTCGGGGGAAGCTGAAGAAATCTCACATTAGATTTAGGATGGTGATGCTTTCTTCAGTCTTCCTGTGGCTGCAGCCAAGCCTGCTTTATGGTTCTTGAGTTACACGTGGCCTTCTTCCACACAGTCATCTACCTTCCGCTAGGAAGTATTTCAGGAGCGGGACCAAAGCTCGGTCTCTCTGGCACGCGGGCTCTGCAGCAGTAAGACTCCTCGCTGCAGGAGCAGTGCACCTGAGGAGACAGGGCATGCACATCTGTCCTTATGTAGATGACCGGCTGCTGATGAGAGACAGGCAGTGGCAACAAGCCTAGAATATGCTTGCTGTTCATCCAGGTGATTCTCTTAAAGAAGTCTTAAAAACAAAGAGCCAAAGTTACAGTCACAAACGATGGAGTTCATAGGGACTGTGACCAGTTCCAGGCTAGTGAGCACTTGCCCAAAGACAGGGTCCTGTCACTACGATTGCTTCTACATGAGATAAAAATCTAATCGTGCTACCATGGTATGAACATGCCTTGGAGCATTAGACCATATGTCAACATGCACATGACATCCAATGCAAGCCTTCAGCTGTGGCTCCTATAACTTTGGCTCAGGTCCATATGCTTCCCATAGAGGCACCAGATGGACAAGAATATTTTGTCCTCTCATCATGTCCTCACAGAGCTGATACAATGACTAGAACCTGAAAAGACCAAGGAAGGGGCATACTGACTCCTGTGTCCCACTTCTTCTCGGATTCTGGTCACAGGCACAGGGAGAGATGCACACTTGGCCTGCACAGAGGTGTGAAATGTCTGACCGTGAAAGCTGTGGGACTTCATCTCAACCTCCTAGAATTTAGAGCCAAAGCAGTTACAGTGCCTGAGCGAATGCTATTCACATTGTATCTGAAAACTGCTGTTACACATCCTGGCAGCCGCCTCTTCCATTAAAAAGAAAGAAACAAGCAGCAAATAGTATGAGCTCACCATGACAACTCAGAAGTGTGGAAGTCTGGAAACTGCTTGGAGATAATTATATGGTGGACTTCTGTTACTCTGTCACTGGGACTCAAGTGGGGGTTGAGTTGGGTGTTTTTCACTATAGCACTGTCATAATAACCAAGGATGTTATTCCACTGCCCAACTGTTTGTTGCAATGGAGATACGTGTGCAGTACCATTTGCCAAAATCATGCTTCTACACTGGACTAAAGCCTTCCAGGTCACCTTTGCACAAATCCTGGGGTCTGTATGGTTTGCAGGCTGATAGGGGACATCCACTGCTACTTACCAGCTGAGACAGTTTGGCTTAATAGATTACAAATGTCCATCACTTTCTAATTCATTTCCTAATTTGCCAGATATAATTTAACAGTGATGAGCTGTTTCACTCAGATACAGTCTTCTGGCAGGTCATGACCTGGATTAAATAGTAGAAATCAGGTCTGCTCTAGACAAACCCAGGTGAATGTGGAGCAGATAAGGAAGACGATTAAATTACAAACTACTGGTCTAGACAAAGGAGGACTCTCAGATGGTCAGTGCAACGTGGCTTTGCCAACGGGAAGCGTCACCTTTATGGGAAATGGAAGACAGTGCAAATTAGACCAAAAAGCTAAAAGAAATTAACTTAGTAGCTGTGTTTGTATAGCATGTTGGAGGAGAAGAGGAATTTTGCTGCTAAGGAGGCGAGGATGGAGATAATTACAATAATCGAAATAGGAGACAAAGAGCTCCTGCGCATAGCTGTCGGGATAAAAAGCAAGGACAAAAGTCGGATGATTGCTGGGTTGCCAGATGATTAAAGTGACGTTGTCATGTTTGCGAATATTTTGTCTGGATATGAGCATACGTGGGGTATATTGGTTGTTATTCTGATAGGTGTATGCACTCCTGCTTCCGTACAGTCACTGTCGTCTTTTCTGTGCATTGAAATTGAATTTTATGAAAAGGCTCATTTGACATCTATTATAGACGTGCACACACACATACACACAGGTAGGTACTTGCTCTGCTTTTCACAGCGATACCGTTTCTTTCTCCACTCAGTTCAGAGACATGCAAATCAGATTAACGTCTTCCTTCATATTTGGTTAGATTCTTCAGGATGTTTTACCACTTAAGCTTTCATTTTTTAAAAGGGCCTAACCTTCTGGGTGGAAAAAGCTTTATCCGGGATAAAGTGACACTTGATTGTCATCTTGAGTCTCTTGTCATTTGCTACAGAGAGATGCAGCAGTCCTCTCCATTACATGGATGGGTGGGCCTCTCCTTCAGACTTTAATTAGAGGTTTTAGCCTTCATGGCATAGGACACTAATTGCAGAATGTAGCTGGATCTGTAGCTTTGAATTTTATGCTGGCAAAAGTGGAGTCTCATTTGATTCTGGAAGGAAGGAGATCTGATAAGGGGACTTGATTACAGGTTTTTTCTTCTCAACTTTTGTTTGTTTTCCTCTCTGGTGTTAGCATCACCTATTTTTCAGACAGATTTTTTTCACAGTCTGTGTTTTCAAGCTTATATCTGTGCTATTTTCTTGAAGAATACAAAGCCACCACTGCTACTTTTGTTCAGCTGCTCTAATGCTCTTTCAAGGTGCCAAATCTAGACTTTCCAATGCATTTACACTCTCATTCTGTGTGCTGGTCTATCTTCATCTTTAAAAGTAGCTGAACTTACTCTTTCGTCTCAAAAAAATGTTTGCTTTGTCTCTATGATTGGTTGCAGATACTACCATGAGTGAGTGTTCTCTGAACTTTATCTACATTATTTATCTACAGTGGTTTTGTATAGGACAGTCTTGTCTGTCATTGCCTTCTGTGCTAAAAGAATTCAAATCAGCTATAAACTGTTATGCCATTTTCAGTTTGTTTGGTTGGGTTTTTTTGTAAATTTAATGTGTAAGCTAATCAACACATTTTCTGTAGAGAACTTCAATCTATTCCCAATATTTGCCCAGTCTGTTTGGCAGGAAATATCATTGCTGTGTGCATCATGTTGAAGGCACACAGAAGTAGACTAGCATAAAAGAAAAAAACAGCCTTATAAGAAGACATTAACCATAGGTAGGAGAACCTGGCACTGAGAGAATGCAGAATAAGCCTCCATGCTAATTCATGTGTAAAGCAGCTTCCAGTAGCAGCTGCACTTGAGGAAGCGCAGACGGTCAGACGTGACAAGCTACAACGTTGGACTGACAGGTTGATTGGCAGGCCTAGAGGGCTGCAGGGATGTCTCATGTCACAAATACAACTGCAAGAAGGCAACAGAGTGAAATATTTCTAAATAACAACTAATTACAGCAAAGAAACAGTACTACGGGAAGTACTGTGCTGTTGGCTTTTACAGCTGGGAAGGGCAGGAAGAGGGGAGGGAGGCAGCGATGAATGAGGCAAATCAGAGAGATGTCTTCAACACGCACGTGTTGGGAAACCCATGATTGCATGACTGGTCTTTTTAAGCCTGGCAAACTTATTTCATTCTCTTCCCATTGTGCTAGGAAAAAGGAGAATTTTTACCATCCTTGCAACAAACTGTGACGTTCTTTTTAGTTTTGTAACTGCAAGGCAGCTATTTCAAAAGCCCAGAGCATAGTCAGCTCAAGAAAAAGTCAAATATTTGGATAAGTACCTGTTTTTTAACTTCGGTATTTTGTCAGAAGACGAAGAGAAAGACCACTGTTTTGCAATGCAACACAACTCTAACAACATCTTCATTTTGGTTTCAGAAGTCTACAGAACAAATGAAGAAAGTACCAACTATTGTCCTGTCTGTCTCTTACAAGGGAGTCAAATTTATTGATGCAACAAATAAGGTATGTGCAGTTGTTCAATATTAGCTTTTATTTCTCACAAATAGGAATACCTGTGAGGCAGGCTCTGTAAGAGCACCAGGCCAAGGAGGGAACAGAGCTCCACTTTGTGTTTTCCTCTCTTTTTTCTCCCCAAAATGAATGTAATCTTGTCATTCTCCAGAAACTCAGTCTGGAGGACAAGTGAAGCAGCTTTAATGGCTCATTGGGAGAACATTGTGTCCAACCTTCTGCCATTAAAAAGCAAGCTTATTACAAAAGGCATTTGGCAGGGAGCCTCTTTGGAATCTTCCCCACCCAGTGCCTTAAATGTGCAGAAAATATATATATTAATTAATATAATTTTGGCAAAAAAAGAATAAAGATGTCACCAAGTTAATAATGTATGTAACTGCTTTGTGTTGCTGAACATTCAGACCACACAATACATCTAACCCAATATCTTTCAAACTTGCCAAATCAGTCAGTTTTTAGAGGTGTTTAACTAGAACTGAGTTTTAAGTGAAGGAACAAAAGCAGATTTGTGAACTTCTGCTAGAGTTCGTAAGCCGTATCCAGGGTTAGAAGATGGCATGAAAGAAAAACAGCGGTGAAATTACTGTTACATCGTCTGGCATATTTGCCAGAGCAGAGAGGCCAGGGATTCCTGTCAGCTCCTTTTTCTTCCATTGATTCAAAATTGAGCTTTGACAACCCTCATTTCCTTTATGTTCTCTGATGTGCAGGGCATAAATCAGGACATTGTAATGCTATTAACTCTAACTTGGAGAAGGCTGTTTTCAGCTCTCAGATCTCTTCTGTAGTGTAAAGGATGTAACTGCAATGTCCTTAGGCTTACAAAAAAAGTCAGAAGAACAAAAGGAGCTTCCAGTATCTCTTTGCACAGTGCATGTAATCTTATGTAAAAAGGAAACTTGAAAGAAGTTTGGCAAATTACATTGGCTCTAGACCGGTCCCATGGAAATCTTATGCCCAGTAGTGCAATAGATGTATCTGATGGAGGTAAATAATGCCACAGTCCTGTGTTTTTTCTCAAGTGGTAGATTGCTTTCTCTCCAGTTCAAAATCTGCACTGCCTTTCCCTTCTGTAAAAACCAGGTAATAGCCTGCAACTCTCCCAGGAGCGTTGTTATCATCCTTGTCCACAGTGTGCTGTACCCAAATCCTTCGAGACCCAAAACAGATTAGCACTAAGGTGAGATCCTATTCAGACTTGTACCGCTTCCATATGAGCTTCTAGTTGACAGCGCTGGGCACCACTTAGCAACAAATGCATACTTTTTAATAACAAAAATAGCTAGCAGTTATGTGCTTGAAAACTCAGCTCTCATGGCTGTTCATCCTTTTCCTTTGTGCCACCAAGCTAAGGATTGGTACTCTGACACGTAGCAGGCAAAGCTTCAGGTGACAGAGGGGCCCTGAGCTCATTCCACGACAGCTATTTCAGTGGCGCCTTGAAGTTTGGCATGACACCACTTTGACATGACACCATTTCTTCGCAAGTGAGGCCAGAAAGAAATTGCTGCTTAGGAAAGAGCAGACTTGCAGAATTTTGTCGTGGGTCACAGCTAACCCTAACTTCTGGATGATTTCTGCTCAGAGGGGGGGTTGTCTGACAGGAGGTAGGCAAGCAGAAGGCAGGTGGCTTAGCAAAAACCTGATCTCTCCAAGGTATTTCCTTGGCAGAACCAGAACCAACTTTCAGCTTCCCTGCTTTTTGAGAAGCGCCGGAGGTTTCTCTTGCCAAACTGAGGGACAATTTTTAGAATGACGACTGTACAGTGCCAGTCAATGCCTGAGGAGTGTACCCAGAACAGCGAGCTGGTTCATAGCCTTGTCATTTCTACAGAATAAGACTATGGGTCTACTGGAGTAGTGACCCTAGGGAACACTAAACATATACACTGAAAACAGGTTTGATTTTGAAAGGAGATCACAGAGGTTATCCTATAGAAGCTAGGGAAAAGCTCGATTTCACTACTAATTTTCATCCAGACGATTTAGTTTAGGTATACCTCATTTTATTAAAAAAACCACTAGATACGGGTATGTTTCCAAAGTTTACTTGGTTTAAAGTTAAAACATTGAACTACTCACCAGGAGTTCTGACTAAAGGGCAAAGCCCTGTGTCAATGCCAGGTCACCTAGGAAAAGTTTCAGCATAGCAGAGCTCTTTCCACATACACTGCATAGCTTCAGGCAATTACTTTGTGGCTCATGATTTGGCGTAAATATTTCACATGATTTGAAGACCATCCAAGCTTCAATTCTTTCCACTTTTTAAACTACAATGTTGCCAATACAACATCAATGACAGTATATTACAGCTATATCTGTGGATATCTAAATCCCTGGTTTTGGTGAGATTGTAGTTCTCATCAAAATCTTTATTGAGGGTAAAAGTTATCAATTTGAGAACAAAGAAAACAAAATGCTTAAAGTAACATAAAAAGCCAATGATTGTTAAGCAGAGATTATACTTGTCATTATAAATTGGCGTATATTGAAACATAAATACTGGTTTTTGTCATTTTTATGAATAATGCATCAAACAGAAATAATCAAGTATGTTGCAGCAATTTAAGATTAAGAGGATTATTTCATTTCTTCAGTAACAGTTCCCTTATCTTCTTTTTTTCCGTAATTTGAAATTTGGAATGCTTTTATGAAGATTTTTCCTAAGCCATGATTTCTCCAATTAGATATATTAATATATCTTTCAAAAACTTGACACCTACATGCAAGGGGAAAAGTTGCCACTTAGCAAATGAAAGAAGATACGGCAAAGCATCTGAAGTGACTTAGTTGCATATTTTTCCTTTTCATCAAAAAAAAAAAAAAGAGGGGGAAGAGAGGAGGTGGGAAGGAAAAGACGAGGGTGAGGGAAAACCAGAGATGCTCAGAGATTGTTTTAACTTGAACAGATGCCACTGAGGCAGCAGCAAACGGTGGCCCTGCGCGGGACTGGGACGCTACAGCTGTCACGTGTTCTGTGGTGCAATAGCAGCGTCACGCTGCAGCAGGCTTCTTGGCTTTGGGGGTTTGTGGAAAAGCCAGAGCTATAGCCGGCAGGGCCACAATTCAGAATAGCCTATAAACTAACTGCTAGGTAAACTCGTATTTGACGAATCTGTTTAAATAAATCATTTGAAATGCATGTGTTGCTGAAGCAAGGCCTAATCATAAGCCACTCTGCAGTATCTTCTTCTCTGGCTTCATGGTTCCTTTGGCCTGAACACAATAATTACATACCAGCAATTTATATAATGAATACTCATAATTTTCTCCAAAGCTTTAAGACAGCTTTTTTTTGTTTCATCTGACAGACATGCCCCACCTCTATCTCAGTAGTATGCTATAGCTTACATTGGCTGTTGCAAGTAGTGTTGCTCGGTGCATGAATGGTTTAATTTTTCTACATCTCTCTTACAGGATGCTGTTGTCAGTAAGTGGAGAAAAGTTGCGAGATCCTCCTGTAGCTATCTTTTTACTAAGCAGAAGCCTTTCAAGAGCTCAGGGTTTCAATTATAAGTGATGTTTGGTGGTTTTTGTCTCTTGAAAAAGTATAGTTGAAATTTGGTCAAACACCACGTGCAAAAAAACAGATACTGAGCCTGTTGGGTTTCACCAGATCCTGTCTATCAGTACACTGAAACAGTGTCTTGTAGTGATTGTGATACAGAAAACCAGCAGCATCGTAAGATGCTTGTCTAGTGCTTTGAAACTGTATTTACAGCTGTGTGCCAGGAAAGATGTCTCTTTGTCATAGCATACTGAATGAACTGTACAACACCCAAGTGGACTCACAGGGAAGACTCTAGGATGTATTGTTCCCTACCAGATTATTGGCAATTTTAGATATCATTGGAGAGGCTCAAAATTCCAGTAACCTGGGCTAAATCACAAGTGGGGTGTATTAAATCTCTTCTTATTAAGAAACTTTTGAAATACTCCATCACAGCAGGTGAACATAAATGAAATCTGAAAACATACCTTTTACAGCTCTTTTACATTTAATTCCTAAATTGATTGAAAATATTTTTTTTAAACAGAATATTATTGCTGAACATGAAATCCGTAACATTTCCTGTGCTGCACAAGACCCTGAAGACCTTTCTACATTTGCGTACATCACTAAAGACTTGAAGACTAATCACCACTACTGCCATGTATTCACTGCGTTTGATGTGGTCAGTTTATAGAACATACTTCATTTAATAGTTCTTTGTAATAGTTCTTTAATTCTATTAAAACATTTTCAGGGTACATGGTGGTTAATGGAAGTTATAATTCATTTACCACGTGAAAAGACTAATGTATTAGGGGATAGTAAAAGAACATTTCTGGAGAAGAGTGAAGATTTTCTTTGATATTATCTCATTTCCCATCTGAAATCACTCACCTCTGTAATCTCAGCTGTTGACCGTAAAGTTCGCAAGTAGCTTTTCGTACAAGTCTTGACAAGTAATTCTTCTAACCTAAGGTGTAGCCTTCCAAGAGAGTTGTAACCAGCAGGTTTGGCCACCCATTCTGAAATCTCAACGCACACTGAATAAACAAATCAGAACTGGATCAATGTGCATTATATCCAGTGCTCAATCCTGCTAAGAGGTAGGCTCAGGAATTAGCTTAAGCTGAGTTGGCAGGGCGTCCTGCATTTTTGGCTATGCTGTACTGCCGGTGTAGTCAGGAAAGGAGGGGTTTGGTGATGTCCAGCCTTTCGGCTTTTACCCCTATGGGGCAATCCCGTGCCACCCAACAAGGGGTGAGAGGGTTGGACACCTTCTTGTGGGGGCCCTTTGAGCCTGGACACATTCCACTTTCATGAAGCAGATGTGGGCTGCTTTTTGGACCAGAGGTCAGATCTCACCACTGTGAGTGATTTCTTCAGATTTCTTAGCCTGCTGTTCCGTGACTTTGAGTGTTTCAGTGTTAAGCTGGATCAGTCCCAGTAACTCAAACATCTCTCTAAATATTGTTTAGACTTTTTGACATTGTGTAGAATAAACTGGAAAACGGAAGATTCCTCTGAAAATGTGTAGAGAATGTATGAAAAGTTTTGCATTTACCTCAGCCAGAGAACTGAAACACTTCCGGATCTAACAAAGAAGAGACCACAGATAGTTAATTGTGTATCTCAAGAAGTCCTAGGAACATTTGGCTACCACACTGAATCTGAAAGACTTGAAACATCTGTGATAACAGAGATCTGTCTGTGCAGAGCATTGTCCTTTCTGTGTTCCTGTATAAGAGGTTGCCCCTATATCTGTAAACAGATTATTATTATTATTATTAGACGGCCCCTCTGTTCTGCTCTGCTCTTTGTCATGACAGTGGGAGTTTTAGCTTAACAAATAACAGAGATACAGAATTTGGGGAAGTTTTATTTTAGCAGCACCTTTACCTTTTCAAAACTATTGCCTTTATTTTGAAAATAGCAAATCAGTGTTTTCATTCTTACTTCTTTGTTCAACGTTCTTGCCTGAAAAAAATCTCAAAAATGTTATATCAACAAAAGTCCTTAGAGCTCCTGCTATTTTGGTGGAAAATGGCGAAGTTCTTCCTATATTTATGCTTCTCAGATGGTGATGCACAGACTACTAGTGTTTCAAGAAATCATGAACACATATCAATTAATCAGTCATACTGTTTTCACCTAAATTTGATGACAGAAGTAGCAGCTCTAATTTTTAGGACTAGGAGGGCTTATTGTTCAAAACTTTCAGGGCTACTTGCCCAAGAGAGGTTTAAGATGCTATTAAAACTTTTAAATCATTCAAGAAAAGATATTTTAATATATGTATGAATTATTGAAACATGCTTACATGAATATAAATAAGTTAAATCAGAAAAATAGAGATGTCTGAACTGAGGCATTATATTTGTAACTGGGGAAATGGTCAACATTGCAGAGCGATAGCATGTAGGAGAGTTTAAATAACAAGATGTACAGGAAGGTAGGTTAGAAGGAATTTTAGTGTTTTGGTTCAGTGCTTTTGTTGTTTTACTTCTCTGCTGACATTTTAGTGTTCACAGGAAGTAGAAGAAACTTCAAAATTGTGTTAAAAATAGATAGACTATGGTCAACAAGATCTTACTTTATATAGATTTTACTCATAAGTGAATCAACTGAAATTAGACTGATTGATGGAGGTGATTATTTCTCCTGATCCACTTAAATACTCCTTAGTGGTTTCAAAGTACTGCAGTTTCATTTATAGGTTTAATAATCAAGCACAAACGTAGACCCAGGTATAGCAAAAGAAATCCATTTTCTCCTGGCGTGGCAAGGAAAGAATAGTGATCCAGGAATAATTACAACATTTTGCTCACTTCCTGTGCCTTAGGAGGAGCATTTAATACCTCAAGCACTTTAAATGGCTATTTTAAGCAATACAGAAACTTTAGTGTCCAACTGTCTTAACTTGGTTTTCTCCTGCAACATAATCCTCAGTGGGGTGTTACCTACTCAAATATTCTCTCTTTGTGTTATTTTATTTCTCAGGATCTAGCATTTCTGATGCAAGTACAAGCTCCATAAAAAATAGCTAGGTATTCAGAACACAAGCACACAGTAAATTAAATTTTGTATTTAAAGTTGAACATTTCCAGTTTGCTAATAGAAACAGTCCTACCCATTTGTCAGTGGATAGAAGTCCAATCATGTTAAGATAAAATAAAGCTTAGAATTGTAGAAATCCACAATAAGGTGTAAAAAAGATACATCTTAAATAACACATATTATGGCAATACAATATATGCAATGGTGTGAAAAAAAAAATCACTCTTTTAGGTCCTTCAGTTCCTCATAAATGTGAGCAAGAACAATTTTTTTTGCAGATAGGAAACCATTTTAGTGTAGCAACATATCAACTACCAGCATTACTGCTGCTGTTTAGGAGTGACTGTACATAGAACTTCTCTACTCAGAGTTAAAATTCTGTATTCAAAACTGCAAAAACACCTGACTTGATTAAAGAATATTGAAGGGGACAAGATTTGGGGGAAGAAGAGGATTTATTACTCAATATTTTAAATACACTTCACTCTCATTCACTTCTAAAGCAGCCCTGAAACTACCAGTGAAGGATTCTGTTTGGAGAAGCAAACCATCATAACGTAACAGTTCCTATACCAAATTCTGGTTCATATATGGAAGACATCCAAAGTAATTTCCACCAGATACTCCTTCATTGCCTAATGCATCTATGAATAGAAGACAACCAGCATAAGTTGGAGGAATTTCTGCTCTTGCTTATGCCAAGGATTAGACTGGTATTTTACATAACACAAAGACTTTGCTTCTTTTCTACATTCGTTTGTCCTTCGTTTCACAGACTTAAGCTGGATAAGAATTGGAAACTGCTTGTATACATAGTTAGCAGAAAAAAAAAAGCATGCATTCAGGTCTTGAAGTTCTGTTCACTGCCGCCTTCTAGGGGACTAGGAGACTTTATAACATTTTTCTCTGCCCTTACGATCATGCAAGTACAATCAGTCTAGCATCCCCTTGTCTCCAGGTCAGAAAACTTCTTTCCTTTGCAGTACCCAGAGAGCGCATACCCAGACAGTCCTCTCTCTGGGGCATATTAGGTGGAATGTGTAGAACAGTTTCAGTTGCTCCTGGCAAACTTCTTGAGATGGAGCATGCTGAGGTACAAGGAGCTTTCAGCTCATGAGCAAACAAAGCTCTTTCATCTACATCGACAGCTTTTGCAACAGCCTGAAAGACCCACTTTGAAGGCTTGTTTCCATCCTCCCATTGCATACAAGATACAGTTCTGTGACACATTAGAAGAAAGGGATGGATTCAGAAGCATTTGCCATCCACGATTGCTTTAAACCCGGAATGAGAATGGATCACGAATTTAAGTTGCAGGAGTGCCTGATCATGAAAGCCTCCTGCAGCACCAGCACATGCCAGGCATCTTGATCTCACCATACTGTCTTTGGGGAGCTGAGCTTTCTTCCCCTTCAGTGCAGAAAGGCTGACACATTGGAGAGCACAGAATGCATGTCCTTTCCACATCCCCCCAAAAGTAAAAGTTTTGTGGTGTGGAGAGATAAAGCATGTGTACGCTTAATAGTGTAAATGTATGTATGTCAGCTCTGCATCTCTCATAACCCCTGTTACAAGTGAGTAACCTCTTCTTGTCAGGCTTTTGTAGTAGAAATCCTCAGCGTTTGGCCTTGAAGACTCCAGTATGACTAAGAAGTCGGCAACTGATTTCATCCCGGGGGTGTGCGTTTTGAACTGGGATTTTGCAGATTTTTTCAAGTAAAGATTCCGTATACTCTCTTCTGTTTGGTTGTGCCAACTGCGATTTTAAGTTCAGTAGCTTGAACAAAGGGTGTCTGAACTGACATTCCTACGCATCCGATGTGATGGGTAGCTCGCACTGATCATCTGCGAGACTCCAAAGGAAGCTTCTTCAGTAAATTCAGTCTTAAAAAAAGATGGGATTTGACAATGATCTTAAAAAAAAAGGGGGGGGGGGGGAATCATCACCTAAAAGAAAAACCCATAAAATCTTCATTATATCAAGCGCTCTCCCAAAAAGGCAAAATTCCTTTGCGTGACATTTTAAGGTTTTATAGCTCAGAAGACAGAAATCTTACTCTCTTTCTTAAAATATTCCTGAAGCCTCAACATAGGTTTATAGAAGCATGAAAACACAATGAAGAAGCATTACCTGCTGCAACTTGCACAGTAATAAAAGTCAGTTAAAATATAACAGAACAATTAACCATTGTAATAAGCTGGCTGAATTAAAGTGGCTGAAGAATCCTGACTCGCACTGGGGCATTGAATTGTAACATTATGTGGTGAACAAGGCAATTCACCTCAATTTCTCATCTCCCAGAAACTGTTGCTTAGAGGTATTAGCTTACTCACTTTCCTTTTCTACTGTGCCGAGCCAGGATTGGGATTGTAGCAGCTTCAGGAGCACCGTGGTCCTACAAGTTTTGCCTCCTTTCCAAGGAGCTTGGTGCAGTGCTGTAAGGGTCAGTGCCTTCTGCAGCGACCAGGGGGTCAACAACTTCTGTGCTAAGCGTCTTTCAGGGAGGCAGACGTGTTTCCTTCCTTCTGTGTCGCATGTAAAAGAATCAAATGGTCTCCTCACTCCAACAGAACAATTTCCACGATGGATTTTGTGGTTTGGTTTTCTGTCCCCATCCCCAAGGGAACCCTGCTCTTACCTCTCTGGTATAGCCCCTGCAAGAATCCGTACCATCTCTAATCCTCTTATTCCTCTCCCAGTACTACAGGTGAGAAATTCATCAAACCAAATTTATTTACTTCTGTCTTTTTCCAAATATAATTTTGCCGATTCCTTTACAAGGTACAGTTTTAATGCCCTCCTTGCCTCCATTTGCAGACTTCTCTTTGTCCAGGCTCTACCGCAGTACACAATGTATGAAATGCATCTACAAGTTACGGTTCAGTTTGCATTTCAAGTATTGAACAGAACAGTGAATGTTCTGGTTTATTTGCTGCATTTCAAACATTTGTTAACCATAGAAACAGTTACATATTTCCAATGGCTTTCAGGCTCCAAGCGTGCTTATTTTTTTATTTTACAGACTACAAAAGAAAACAAATCATAGAGGCTTCTGACGAGATACAGAACCCAGACTAGATTTATGTCTCTGCATGGCAAACTCACTGCTTGTCTCCACTCTTATCTCAGAGCTTTTCAGGCCTGTCTCTCAGTCACCTTTTTGTATGCCACACTGGATGGCACATTTGCTCAGTCCCACTAGTATTCCAGTCTGCTTTTTCTCCAAACCATTACTACACCCTGTCCTGCTGATGTATTCCTTAGCAATAATAATATCCACTGTAGACAATCTCGTGATGATATAGTACACTGTCTTACTGTCACGACAGCTGATTAAGCTTTTAGAATAATGTTCTTGTCCTACTGATAGGCACACTCCATTTCAAATAATATTATTCCATACATTTTTAGCAATTATACTCTGTTGGTCTTAATTCCATAGCCAGTGTTCTGCCAGAAGGCAGGGCACTTTATAATAGTCTCTTTAGTCTTTCATTTATTACTCCACTGGCAAACTGTATGCTCAGTGTTTCTTGGTCCTGGCCAGTTTCCTGAAGTTAAAGGGGAGACAGTTTGGAGACTACTGCTATCAAATCAGGCAGACATTTTTATTTGGGAAAGCTATGAAACTTTGGCTAGCTTGCTGTTGTGACTGCAGTCGTAACAGCCGAGAGCACATCCCAGTGGAGGAGTATAATTATTTTCTGTCTGACCTAACAGAGACCGGAGCTGGCACCTTTGTAAGAAGCTCTTATAATGAGCTAAAGAGCTGAATTTAGCCTATACTATCTCAGTATCCATGTGTGATAACAAAGGAATGGAATTTCTTCATGTCTACAGTGAAACTATAGTGTACAACATGAAATGAAATGCTTACCTTTTCAACTGTGTTTTAACGATTGAAGGGCAGACAGCATGCTACCAACTGTCTTGCATTGTTTTTTGGCTTATTGCAGACTCAACGGTTAGACTTGACGAAAGAGATATCTCATTTTAAATTATATCAGACACATGGAAATATTAAGGGATCACTTAGTTTCAAAGTAATGCAGGATTGCTTCCAACTATGGGCTGCAGAGGTTCAGGAAGGAGAGGGTAACTTCTGAATTACATCAAGTATTTATGAATTATTCTAAGGAGCTGTAGGATGTAAGGAGGCAAGCCTGCAGGCTTGCGTTTGCTCTGCAGGGAGTTGAAAAGTTATTGGAAAGTTAGGAGCCTAGAAATAGGCTCTAGTAGGAGCCTAAAAAACAAACCCACAAACCTGAAAAAAAATTACCATAGAAATTCACTTGCAGTTTAGATTAAGGTCAAATTCGAAACTCCCAGCTGCTTCTTAGTTGATTTAAAACTGTACTGAAAAAATATTTATACCAACCCCCTGGTTCCTCATTCATGCATTATAAACCTTGCAGCAGGTTTTCTTCCACATATGCAATGAGAACTTAAAGTATTCTAGCTATATATACCACCAAAGTGGTCTTAGTCTTAAAAGGCTGACTTCTTTGGTCACACACTCTAACCCCCCAGGCGTACAAGAATATCCTGACACGCCAGTTTAAGCTCAGACATTTTTACTTCTAGAAAATAAAACCATGAGAAGGCTGCCCCACCACTTGAAACACGCATCCGAAGCGGATCGCAGACTTTCATGCGTGCACGGGTGCACTGCATCTGTGAAGCAGAGCATGCACTCTCAGCGTCTGCTTTTTGTCCTTTCGGAGGCGTTGCACCAGCGCTGCGTCCTCTTCCCGTGCTGTTCGGCGGGAGCCCAGAGCATCCCGAGGCGCACACCCGAGGAAGGCGCGCGTCGGGCTGCCGGCTCTGGACGAGGACGGGGCAGCAGAAGAGGCCCAAAACAGAGCAAGGTGGAATGTCAGAGAGGTGCAGGAGCGCAAGGTGGGTGGGATCTAGAGAGCAGCAGGAACAGGGGGAGCTGGGAAGGCGAGGGGGGTCATGTGCTTGTTCTGAAAAGAGCACACTCACCCAATCCTGTTTTCAAGTTTAGTGAAACAATGTTTTCAAGGTTTTTAGAAGTAATTACTTTCAGTACAATAAATTACATTTGGATTGTCTTTAATCAATTGAGAAAGCAGTGACAGATGTAAATATTACAGAGACTTAGGAAGTTATTACCGCTATGATTTTAATTCTTTCCATTACAAATCACTTCTGCAGACAGTACTACCCCACTTCATGTATCTGACAATAATTCAACCTCACCCTAGTTTTAACTGTTTCTGTTCTGTTCCAGAATTTAGCTTACGAAATCATTCTTACACTAGGACAAGCGTTTGAGGTGGCCTATCAGCTTGCACTACAAGCACGAAAAGGGGGCCATTCTTCAACCCTCCCAGAAAGCTTTGAAAATAAACCCTCCAAGCCTATTCCCAAACCACGTGTTAGTATTCGGAAGTCAGTGGTAAGTAGAAAGTCGTGGCGCATGCAAACAACAAAATTCAGCTATACCATTAAGAGCTGATGTGCGTCGAAGCTGTATAAATAAATGTACCTGTTGAGTCCAAAATGCTCCGTGTCTCCCTTGTGCCTCCTCTGCTCATCAGCCGGTGGGGTCGTGCCACCGCAGCACGGGCAGCTGCTTCAAACAACTGCTGATTTCAGATTCCGCCAGTTTAAGGTGTTTCTTGACTAGTGTTGTGCATGTGTCTCTTATAGTAATTGCAGAGCTTTAATTGATTCTGTCTAATTCCAATGTACTGTGCTTTTTGAAGTGCTGAGGATCACAGCCAGTGCGCACCTCTAAAACTCAGCAGTTCCGTGGACTCTGCTGATGTGGAATAGAGAAATAAAATCAGCTCCAAACTCATTTGATACACAATCACTGAATATGCCTCCTAATCAAATTACACATCCAAGTCAATTTACGACGATTGTGTCACACCAAGCAACTTCCTTTCTTACCTTTGTTTTTTTGGGTTTTTTTTACCCTCAGCAAACCCTCCTGTTCCAAAACTGGGATTCAGTGTACCTTTTTGATAATTTTCTTTGGAATCCCAAACTGCTAAGAATCCAAGCTCCCTGGAGCCTACGTATTGGTTGCCTTTAAAGTGCCCTCCTGAAGTGCATAGATGACAGAGAAATATTCTGTTATGATAGAGCTTTTAAAAAAATTATGAAAACTATTTTACATCAAGTGAGAATACAGGCACAGGGTGACTTGGGAGGGAAAGGGGAAAAATGCACACTGTATTACATTCACTGGCTGTAAAGTAAGAACCATACTGTCCGATATTTAATTACTGGATGAGAGGAAGGGGAAAAATTAAACGTATGGCTGTACACTTTGTTGTCCATTGCTACAGAATCTTCATCCGTAAAATTTTAGAGAAGGAACATTTCCTGATGCGATCATCTGTCTCGGTAACAAAAGGACTTCTCAGGATCAAGTCTAGCTTTAATAGCCTGCAATGCCCTATGGTTTGGGGTTAGACGCAGCTCTGATCTAAACAGGCAAAAGAGGGCGACCGTGGGTGCATGGGAGTGTAGACCACTCGCTGCTGGTGGGCTTTTTCGATACAGGACTTGTTCCGTGTTCTAGTCGTTTAAAGAAAAACCTGCTAGAAATGCTGCGCGCAGAGATGGTCACCTGTCTGTATGTTTGCATTTGTCTTAAAGCAGATAGATCCATCCGAACAAAAGACTCTTGCGAATCTACCGTGGATTGTTGAACCTGGACAAGAAGCCAAAAGAGGCATTAATACCAAGTATGAAACTACAATTTTCTGATACAAAACTGTCCCCCCTGTTCCTTGTTGTGCCTTGCACGCCAAGCAGTCACAGCACAGCCTTTCCTTTATGGCAACGTTTCAATCCAGCAGAGAGGAAGACTGCACTGTATGAGTGGCCTTGCAACTAACAAAAAAGGCTGACGGTCATTTCTGGTGATGTTCTTCTTCCTGCAGCACTGACAGAAGAATGACACTATATGAAGACTTTTAAAATTACAGTCCACAAGAGGAGTGAGAAACCTTATTTTTCACGCAGTTCTCCCTTGTGACTCTGCCACAGTGCTTTCTTTGATTTCTTATTTTAGAATTCTACTTTTTAAAAAAGCAAAAGGTCTCTAAACTAACACTAATGCTGCCTATGAGTAGAAGATTTGATTGGTTTTTTATTTAAATCTTGGCAGTTTTTAATTGAAATAGAACCAGAATTAATAGAGTATTTGTGAAACCACTGAATTCATTAATAATTAGTATGTTGAATAAAGAACTCATTAAAGTGGCAAGAAATTAGGTACCCTGATTTCTATGTGCACTGGTTTTATATGTAATCATTGGTGTCCTTTGATCCTCTACTGAAATAGGAACTTCTTTCATTGTAACAAAGGATCAGAGTTTTATGACGGTTAGAAAAAGGTATTAATAATGCACAGAAAAAATTTATTAGATATTTTTATGGAAGAGAAGTACTATAGAAAAACATATGAATATTTATGGAAGGAAGCCAGATTAATTATGACAAATGTTGTTTATTTTACAGTTAAGCGAACCACTGCTATTGCAGCATTATGAAAATTGTAAGAGTTGTAGCATCAGTGCACTGGATGTTCCATGTGATCAGTCTGGAATGAAAGCAGAATAGTCATTCTACTACACCTAGTTTATGCAGTTCAACATTGCTATAGCCATGGATTCTACTAGTATTTTTAACAAATAGTCTCAGTGGTTCTAAAAAAAGTCAAAACCATGGATTTTGCTATCGAGATTTCTGTCACAGAAAGCTTGTTTGGAAGAGTGTTGATAAAATTCTACTGCAAAACATTTTCTAAATAAAAATAGCGAGAAAAAGAAAAAAATTCCAAAGTAATAAAAATGTTTTCATGGAACAAAATAGTTAAGCATTTGCTTAATATTTGATTAAATAAGATTTACTTACATTTTCTTTGAAGTGTTTTAATTTTTTTAATGTCTGTGGAGTATTTGTATAATACCATGATGTATATTTATGTAGAACTGAAATTATAACAGTAAAAATATCACTATAGGAGACAAATGACATTTTAACGTATATTGTTCTATCCAGTCAAATTGTGAATCATTTTGAAGTTCATTATAGAGGTATTGATAAATTGTGTGGTTGTCTTAATGTTTTTTTAATTATTATTTCATACCCAGCTGAGGTTTTCAGTTAAAATCATCAGCTGGGTAAATTCCAAAAAATGGATAATTGAACTTGGTTTAAACCTGATAATTGTATATGGTTTAGTTAAACCTAATCATAGCGCTGAGTGATGACATACTTTTAATACAGTATTCAATTTACTTGAACAAAATAGTTCCTTGTACATATTTTTGCTTATTCACTGTTGATATGTACGTAGTCAACTGACAGTAAAAAAATAATACTAAAAATATGGTACCAAAAGGAAAATTGTATAGGAGAACAGTAAATAGTAGCCTCACTGCAACAAATACTTATGTAAATATGCTTGGGCTTCCAGTTATAAATTTTGTAATTTTGTCATTTATTTATATCCTATAAAAGCACACAAAATAAAATGAAGTTGTACAGTCTCAATGCTTTGTGTGTCATTTTATCATTGCTAAAGGACATAAGGGGACTGATCCACAGGATACTGAAATCAGTGAAACATCCTCCCCTCCCCTTTACCCAGTTTCGTTGGGCTTTGGATCTTGTCCTGCGCAAACCCAGGCATTGCTTTGGAGACAGTTTTGGTTTAGAATGCACATCTTGTTTGCAGATGGTAAATACTTCATACTTTAAAGTCCTTAATTAATTGGTCCTTCGGTGCACTACTGAACTGCTGACTTCCCATGTTTCAGCGCACCCTGTAGAGATTCACACAGGGCGTTTCTGTTAAAACACGTTCGCTTCAGGCGCCAAAAGTACAAAGTGGGCAGATTTTCAGGCTATAAAACTGGGGCAGTTCTTGCGTAGCTGAGCGACCCCTAAAATTACAAGGATGAGGTAGGAGCTGCAGCACAACTCTGATGAGGCAAAAAGGAAAAACTTGCAGGAAGAATTTGATCTGGGTTCGTCAAAGAGATGTTAAGCAGGTAGGGTGGCACAGTATGCTGCCACACCTGTTTGGAAGAGATAACTGGGGCAAAAGAGACTGAGGATGGCTAGCAAGACAGATGAAAGATTGGTGGGGCAGGGAATGAGTGTGAACAGAAGAGTTTTGGGACGCAGTGAGTCAGTGAACGATTGGAGCCCCCACAGCAGACAGAAAATGAAACTGGAAGGAGATGCGTAAGGCACTTCTGTATTTGCAGAAAACTGGGATTTTAGAGGGGAACATTTCCCTCACGAGCTGATACTAGCGTAAGCCACTTGAAGAGAAGTCCATGGGGTCCCCTCGGGCGTGGGACAGTGGTTCAGCATTCCTTTCTTCAGATCCAAAGAGACTTCTGCAAACCTGCACTAACCCAAAGCAGTTACCACTTAATCTTTAGTTCTTTTTGGTCAAGGTGACTTTCCATTAAAGTTCCTAGTATGCTGGACGTGTGTAGGCAGTAAGGGGGCAGTGGTCAGTCTTAAAAGTGAAGGTAAGGAAAAAGCCAGACACCTCCAAAAGTCAGAAAGTGGGAAAATTGCTATTCTTGATCTCTAGTCAAGGTAAGAGGGAAGCAGAGGTGGTCAAGGAGAGTATGTGAAGAAACTGGAGCATTTGGATGTTGCAAAACCAGGAGTTAATTGCAACAACTGCCTTACAGTGGGAGGGTGGAGGATGGGCAAAAGAAGAGAGATAATATGGAAGTAAATTGCATTTGACATGCAAAGATAAGGAAATTGGAATCAAAGTGAGATAAGTGAGGGTGACAAAAGATTTTGAGATTTATTTAGGTAGTGACGTCTCTAGTATGCAAGGCAAAAAAAGCTGCTGCTGGGAGAAGGGTTAAAGACTGGAGAAACTCCTGAGGCAAAAACAGGGAGATTGTGTGTTGTGGGGGTGGAGGGTTGCCTAAAGCAGATGATGTATTTCAGACAGGACATGGAGACCCCTCCAACCTGGCCCGGTGTTTACAAAAAAGCCAGAGGAGCTACTGCTCACAGCTGGCAGGAGGAGACACTCAGCATATCTGGTTCTAGTATTCTGCCACTAAGTTTATGAGAGGCCACTTCTCCTGCAGAACCACAATGTTACACATGCCTTGCAATTTGAAGCCAATTTCTCAGCATCAAAAGCTGGTGTGGGCATAAAATGGTGACCACTGGAAAAAGAATTAGCAGTTCATGAAGAACCTTGTGTCAGTCCTTTGGAAAAGGAAGCAGCATGCTAGACAACTAATAAACTTTCAGGACCACCTGTGAAACAGATGATAGCTTCCATCCTAGATTAAAACAGGCAGTTTGTGCCATGTGCAGAACTCTCATTTAATTTTGCCCTAGATTTCTTTCAATGTGTGCAGTTCAGCTGTCCCGCTTCACACTTCACTGGAGGATGATGTCTAAGATGTCATCAAGACAACAGTCTAGAAATAGTAACTTCAACTGTCTCCAAACTAGCAGCCCAAAAAACAATTGACTCCACAGAGGAACTGTGTGGCAGTGACAAGCATGTAAGTGAAAGACATGGCATAAGGATTAAAGACTATATCTAGATGTGGGCACTTATCCGAGAGGAATATCCATTATCTCATGTAAAAAGACCAGTTGAAGAGAGTGGGAGAAAAAAAAGACGCTTAAAGTGCTGGAAATACTGACAGGATTTTCAGCTCACTGGAAAGCACACAGGTGTGATGCTCTGTAACTGTTTAGTGCTGTAACTTCCTAGCTGAACAAACTTCTTTGTTAAACTAGCGTACTGCTCTCGAGTCCACCCTTGAATACACTGGCTCTAGCTGACTTTAACACCTGGGAGCTGATAACCCAAGCTAGACAGAGGCTGATGACAAGCTCAGCGAACCAAAACAAGAGCAGAAGATTCACTTGCAGCCAGAGTTCACACCAGGATGTAGATTTTCTAGAACTGGTGGGCGGTTTCCTTCCGACTGACTAGACCACCACACTCACCCTCTCTACAATCCTGAATACAACCAGCCCAAACACCGCTGCCCTACTGAACAGGCAGAAGAGGGACATCAGGGAAATGGCCTATGGTCCTTGCCTTTCAGGGAGGATACACGCCAAACGCAGGAATAGGAAACGGCACCTCCGTGCCTGGCTCATGCTCTTGTACAATACCACAAGTAAATTTCTCTCCAGTCCTACTTAACACATATACGCGTTTGTTAGTGCCACATCTTTCACTCTTCCACTACAGAAGTCAGGTACCTGGGTATCTTGAAGAATGTGTGTGTGGATGAAGTGGTAACAGCTAGACAGACAAAAATGCTATAGATATGCAAACAAAACAAAAGCATCTCTCTCTCTCTGCTCTTGCCACCAAGAGCTTGGAAAAGAAAACTACTTTTTCTATCAATCCAGAAAGCTGAATTCAAAACACTTCATAGCCACATAAGAAGAACTGAAGCTTAGACAGAAACTGAGGGCCTTAGACTTCTTCCTCACACACAGAAAATATATCACAGATTTAACATCCCAAGCTTGCTTAATTTTAAGAAACATGCCTTTCTGTCATTTTTTTTTAATTATGGTAATTCCTACCTTCAAGTCATTAGACCTGATCAAATTCTCCAAAGCCTTACCCAAAGCTAGATTTACTCTAATATCAAATCCTTTTAAAAAATCAAAAGGAAATATTCACACACAATGTGAAGGATGGGTCAATGCTTGAGAGAACATGTCCAAATTTGAAGGCAGTATATTTTTTATCATCTTTTCTACACACATAATAGAAACCCCAGAAAGTCAGAGTGAGACAAAGGAAATGGAAATACGCTCCAGTACAGAGAGTACCCAAAGAACATTAACTTTATCCTATAGTGACACCATGAGGAAAAAAGAAACAGCCTGCACTAATTTTTAAGCTACATTAGACGCAGTGCAGTCTTCATTCTTGTGCTTGTGATTAGTGGAAAATGATAATTGCTAGGCTGCAGATTTAGGGGCTTGGACATGTCCTAAGCAAAAATATCCTAACGTATATAACTGAGGCTAGCACTACTTATTGCTTGAGTTTATGTTGCAAAGAACATTAATAGCTTGGGGTTTTTTAAGTTACCTGTAAATACTTACACAGTTATATACTGTCTGGAAGGTATCAGTGACGGATTGGGTGAAAAATTCTGCACAGGAACTGAGTGAATCTACTGAAACCTCCAAGTATCTGGGAATGCTGTGCATGAGTGGAGGTTAATATGAAAAGATGTTAGATCATTCACTGTGGCCATTTCTCTGTCACAGCCGTTACATTTCACTCAGCTATACTTTTGTAAAGCTTCACGAATTACCTAGGCCAAGTACCTCGAACCTAGAAAATTAAACTGATTACTACAATAATTAAAGAGACTACTAAGGTGCCATTATTATCCCCAGCCCCTGATGTGGCAGGAAAGCCCATAGGTGAGCAGTACCTAGGTAATTTCAGCTGGTGATACACACAGCTGCCCCCTGTACTACAGAAAAAAGATGAGGAAAAATATCCCTGCCAATCTGACTTTAGGGAAAACCTGTTTCCCAGCCAAAAGTCCAGTCATTGTGTGATGCAGTCTGCAAGGAAACCGCACTAGGAAAACAGAAAGATGAATACGTGTCACACCTGAGGGCACAGCTCACCTGCCTTCAATGCTGCACTTCCTAAAGCAGCCAGTCTCAAAGGTGAAAAGATTTGAAGGCCAAATTATGCAGCACAAGAATGAAGTTCTTCCTGATCCACAGGTAACCAGCAAAACCCCTGAATCTTGGTATTTCACTACATTCACTCTCCTAGCATAGACTATGCAGACCTGAGACAAGGAACTTCATCAGAGGATCTCATAAGTTCCTTTTTGTACCTGTTTTTAGGTGAGACATGTAAAGCAAGGGAATAAAGACCCTCACTTTATAATCATCCATAACATCTGAAGCATACAGAACGGCTGGGAACATTTAAGTAGAAACTGAAAGTTTTTCAGAGGTGTTTGTTTACACTCAGTTTTGCATGGAGAAGTAGAAATTAAGAACCAATTTCCTTGCTTTACATGATTTTACAAGGTGTTTTTC